TGGACAAGTGGATTTTGCAGGCTTATAGGGAAAGCATCATTCTAAATAAATCCATCTGTCACTTAGCAACCAGTTTGGTTATGTGTATGCAGTTATAAATGTTTCTTCTTGTTGTATTTTATGACAGCAATTGTGCACACTAGATATTTCCCAGTGCATTATCAAAACAAAACACTTCCTACACACTTCAGTGTTTTAAAAGAAATACTATAATTCTTTACCTATTTTAATACAAAGTAGTGGTTAAAAGACTGAGCTGTGAGTTCTTAGGTCAGTCCTGTCTTTAATAATGAATTTGGTGGGCAGCTTAAGACAAAACACTGACTTGATTCACTTTGTCTCTTGTTACAATGCGACATTAATACAATTCTGTTAAGTCACCACAACAGTGTGAACTCTGCTGAATATTCTAAAGCATTTTATATATGCTCTGCATTACAAATGATTTAACAACACACTTCTTGCCATTTTGGCTGTGGTTGCTGCTTTTGATTACTTGTGGATTCAAGAAAATTTGGAATACAACCATTGCCAACTGTAGAATAGTTAAAGCATCTGTCATTTATATTATAATGAGAAGGCCAACTCTTGAATTTTCATTTACACAAAGACTTAATTAGATTATCTTAATTTGTTGCATAAATTTTCTTTGGTACTGTGCTTTGAAATTGAAAACACAATATGTATCTGCATAATACAAAGTACAGCTTCCTGGCTTTTCCTTCTTATAAATTAAACTGGGAAGCACTTTTTAAAAAATGCTTCAAAATTAAAATTTTCCACTGGAAGGATATAACCCTATACACTGAATAATGAGAAGATAAACTTTACATTTTACTATAATGCTTCATTTCAATTCAGAAGGTTCTGCTTATACAAACAAAACAAAGCTTTGACTTTGAAATGAAAAATACAGTAGTAATTTAACAGTTTTTGTTAAATCTTGAGTTTTTGTAAATTTGAACTTATTATTTTCTATCCTGGAAACTTGTCTTAAACACAAATAAAAATGGCAGTCAATTGGTTTTAAAAAAGGACTTTGGGTACCTACCAAATATGAACTTGATAATTTCTCTCAGGACAATAAAGAAAATAATTTTCTTACCTTTATTTCATCCTTACTCAGAGTGCTGACTTTCAGGTGCCTCAATCTTAAACTTTTGTCTATTCTGCCTAGAAATAATGGGAATCAAGTCCAAAATATCTGATTTGAGAGAATCTGCTCCAAGCATTTTTATGGAAGCTCACCCAGCCTAAGAGCATACAAGGTAATGAAAACATATTTTAAAAAAATATTTATAAACTTCCAAGTGTTTATAGTATACACTTCTAAGTCTAATTGAAGCATTGACCTTACAGTGATTCCATTTCATTTTTAAACTGAAAAATATATTTTCATAGGCTAAGGGTATATGGACAATTCAGTAACTGGAGAAATTATTTCGCCAGTAAATTCCATTTGAATCTATAGTATGAGATTTATTTCTAAGTAAATATATTTATGCAACATGAGCATGTTGAAGGCTGAATTTCTATTAGCCATTTCATTATGAATAATAAAGATCATTATTTCACTTTGAAAGTATTCATGCTGTGGCCAAGTATTCATGGAGTCAAATGAACAAGTGTGATCCTGCCTGTGATATACATAATCTACCAGGAAGAACATTGCCACAAAGCACATTGAAGTGAATCAAAGTTCACTTCATAGTCCTACATTAGAGCAGGAGAGCAAACTTGCACTCTTCTTTGTGTTTATAGGGCTAGTATGGAAAACATCTGGGATGTTCTTTCTCATAATAGTCAGAGTAGTGTGAATTTTAGACCTAAACAGATTTCCTCAAAAGAAATATAATTAAATTTAATTATAATAAGTAATGCAATTAACACATTTTTGTCACTTACCGGTAGTTGTAGATTGCCTCAAAGAGTTTAACGTTTAACTTTAATTACAAACCTGTCTTTAGCCTTCTGAAGAATGACGATAAATAAATATCAAACAGATCAGGTTGATTATTTTCAACTAAACCTGAAGATCATTTTTAAATTTTTTGCTGCTGTCTTTTTTTTTCAGAACATTATTTTTTCTGGTATAATTTTCTACAATTGAACAGAATATTTAGTTATCCAAAGAGTCTCCCCATTTGTTATTATCAGCAATATCTCCACACTGTACCTCCAATCATATATTACAATAAGCTAAAAGCAAACAACGTTATTGTAATTTAGTTTTGGGGAAAAAAATACTCTTTTCCAGAAATAGGCATCAAAGTTGCAAGGCAGTTTCAAATATGATTTCAAATATTTTTAAAACAATAATTTTTATTGCTTTTAAAGTAATAACAAAGAAACAGAAAAAAACCCATAAAAATAAAAATTCTGATGGAATTTTTGTCCTACTGCATCAGTTGATACTCCAATACTTTAAGGGAAAGTCCAAAAATGACAGCTTAGTATAGTACTGGGGAAATCTGGGAAATGTGCATGTAGACAACCAAAAACAGTCACCTTATTGACTGCGTGGGAAAAGAAAACGTAGGTGCTACCCAAAAGTAATTATTGTGAAATGGTTTTTTCTTACACTGAGAACAGCTCTGTGGAGAAGGATGACAAGTTTTTCCAGTATTCAGTTAGATATGTCTCCAGTAAACTATGCAAATGCTGAACATTTTGCAGAGGCCATTGAAAAATATCTGCCTGATTAAGGAAGAAAATTGTACAGCATAGTCTATTTACTCAGCCAAGGCCCTTGTATGACTGACAAGTACAAATGGGGTGCTGAATCTTTTACAGAAGAAAGGAAACCACAAGCAAATGTATTGTGTCTGCTATATATGACTTTGGGCATGTCTATCAGGAAAATATACCATAAAGTTTCTGTCTCTTGACTCGTGCGATTATTTTGGTGGAGCCTGTTGAAAAAAGCACCAAATAAAAGAAGGTTCTCAAGGTTCTTTTGATCTTATTATGAAACAATTAGAAAGATCCTCAAACATGTTGGAGTTTGATGGCTCAGCATGACTATTTTTATATATGAAATTATCTTTCTTAAATATTTGGAGTACCTGTGTATCAAAGTTGCTATGTGGATTAAGTAAAATTAAATAAATTTTAGTAGGAAGTATATACATTTTTTCATTCAGTATCCCACTCTGTAAAGCTTTCTTCATTCAAATTTTAAGCAAATTAAAATCTTATCGTTTAAGCTGAAATCGCCCCACAGAATTCAACAGGTATATATTTCAGCCAAAGCACATACAAAATATACTGATATTAGAAACAATCTCTGGGTGACCATGACATACAAAATCAAGAAATAACCATGTACCAAATGATCACCGGCAATTGATTTAATCTAAAGTAAAACCTGTAGCATACAGCATACCTGTAGCATACATCTCAAGCAAAAAAAAAACAAGTTAGGAAGGTTGCACTGGTCAGTGACAAGTTCTGTTTTGGCCCCAGGTAATTCTCCTTTTTATCTGATTGGACTTAAAGGACTGGATTTAAGGCAAACTGCTTTCACAGTCCAAACACAGCTTTAGGGCCAATTACTAATGCTTTGTTCTATTGAAGCTATTCTTTTATGATAGCAAAACACATGGGGTAGGGGTAAGGAGATAAAAGGATGCAAAAATGTTTCACATACTATGCTATGCACAGCATGTTACAATAGATTTATTTGTTTGTTTTTAGATCATTTGTCATTTAATATCTGGGTTGCAAACAAAATAGCAAACTCTAACAAATTATGTAAAAACTGTAAAATCTATTAAAACAGATTTAAGAAATAATTTTGGCAAGGAGGTTTTAAAAAGTTAATTAGCAATCAATGGAATCATTGGAAAGAAGTGTTTTTTAAAAGCACTTGAAGTCAGTGTGGATGGCTGTCCATACATTGTTCCCCACAGGCGAACAAGGCCCACTCCAGAAGATAACCAGGGAGCCTTCCAAGCTGATCTTTGATGTGTGGTGTGTGGTGGAAATTTTGCAGAAGTTGATATTTCAGCTTTCCTGGGTATAATTTTTTTAGGATTTTAAAAATAATAACTAACTCTATGTTCCTATTCTTTGTTACTATTCTGTGTTCCTATTCTGTTGAAGTGTGTAAGCATTGTAATTGTATTTCAACCCACTCTGAGAATTTCATTGTAAAAAGTAGAGATATAAACCTGAATCCCAAGCATTTCTATATCACTTTCTCTTTCAGAATACTAAGAAATTGTTGCTTAATTGCATCTAAATGTCTAAATTTTATGTAACCTGATAATCACCGAGAGCCTTAACATCCAGGAATGTATGTAATAACTTTTTAACTCAATTTCAATCAGTTGTTCCTTCTTGCAGCAGAAAAGTCCATATTAATCACACCTTATAAATAATTTTGTCAGCTCTAAATCTATCATTTGCCTTTTATTTTTAGAGTATTGGCCAATATTATATTTCTCTGATTCTTATAATTTAAAAAAATAAAAGCAGTATTGCTACATACATAGACTCTCCAATTCCTGCACATGATCTTTGCATCAACCTCAGTTAAATTCTGTATTTGAATTTTAGAACAATCCATAATAAAATATTTCCCACTATTACTACATATAAAATACACATTAAAATGTGGATCCACAAAACATAAATTTCACTGTGGATACCTGAAAATGGTTTAAATAGAAAAAAGCCGAAACCACTTGGTGTGAGGAACTGCAGCCTGAACCTTGGCCCAGCATCTGCTGTTGCCACGACAACAGCATCCAGAAGTTGCTGACATGGCATAAAAACTCATATGTGGGGTATATAGAAGGTCTCCAATACTTTCATAAAGAAGCGTTCTGGTTGGTCCAAAATTAGAGCATATAACCAGCAGCTTGTGCCACACCACTTGCAGATCAGGGAGGCTAGGCTACCAGATTTTTCTTTACTCTGACATTTATTTTTTTTAATACACAAGATTAAAAAGAGACAGAAATAATCGTGTTTTTCTGTTAGTCTTCATAAATGAAATGAGGTAATATAAAAAGAATAATGAATCTGATGGTGAGGAAGAAGGGCGGGGAACCCACCAAATTAGAATGATATGTAATATTAAGAGCGATAAACTCAGACATACAAGATTCACATTTTGCTTCTGCTACAGAGACAACAATGCAGCATCCTGCAATCTCTAATTCTCCATCTGTAATTTGGTGATAAATACCAATCTACTATTCAGAAATGTATTACAGAGATATGTTATTAAGCACTCAAACACTCAATATGAGTGTTTGAAGAGTTAGGTGTGATTATGACTGTGCTGGTAGTAGCAAAAATGAGTAGAAAGATTTGAACCTAAAAACAGCCCTAGAAGAACAGAAACAATCCAGTATTCTGTTTCAAGAGAAGAAAAGCAGAAACTTAGAAGTAAGACATGAACATTCACATTTTCCAATTATAAGAACTGAAAGACATTACAGATAGTCCTCAATTTATGACAGTGGAGACCAGTGCTAAGCAAGGTGATTGTTAAATACATTGTACCCAATGTTATGATCAGATAATCAGATAACAGATAATCAGAATTGGAAGGGATCTTATAGGTCATCTAGGCCACCACCACCCCCCAAGTGGGAGACCCTACATCATTTCTGACAAATGGCTGTCCAATCTCTTCTTGAAAGTCTCAAATGATGGTGCTCCCACAACTTCCAAAGGCAAGCTGTTCCATTGGTTGATTGTTCTCACTATCAGAAAGCTTCTCCTTATTTCCAGGTTAAATCTCTCCTTGTCCAGTTTCCATCCATTATTCCTTGTCTGGCCTTCAAGTGCTTTAGAAAATAGCTTGAATCCTTCCTCTCCGTGGCAGCCTCTCAAATATTGGAAGACCGCTATCATGTCTCCCCTGGTCCTTCTCTTCACCAGACTAGCCAAGCCCAGTTCCTGCAACCGTTCTTCATTTGCCTTAGTCTTCAGTCCCCTAATCATCCTGGTTGCTCTTCTCTGCACTTTTTCTCAACAACTTTTTATAATGTGGTGACCAAAACTGGATGCAGTACTCTAGGTGTGGTCTTACTAAGGCTTTATAGAGTGGTATTAGTACCTCACTTGATCTTGATTGTATCCGTCTGTTAATTCAACTTAGGATGGCATTGGCTTTTTGGGCTGCTGCTGCACTGTTTTGATCTATTATGCCACAGTTGTTAACCAAATCACTGCTGTTGTTAAGTGAATCAGGCAGTTGCTAAGTGAATCTGGCTCTCTCCTATTAACTTTACTCACCAGAAGATAGTTGGAAGATCATAAATGGCAATCATGTGACTTCAGGATGCTGCAACTGTCATAAATGCAAGCCGGTTGCCAAGTACCCAAATTTTGATCATGTGAATGTAGGACGTTGCAATGGTTGTAAGAGTGAAGACCAACTGTAAGTCACTTTTTTCAGTGCCATCATAAGTTCAAACAGACTAAATAAATGATTGTAAATCAAGGACTACCCATATATTTTTGATAGTCACTGAATCCTTACCAACCATAGAATTGATGGGTTTTTGCTGGCTTGTTTTTTTGTGCCTTCAAGTCAGTCTTGACTCCTGAAAACTGCCTGGACTAATCCTTGGCAAGGTTTTTTAGCAGTGGTTTGCCATTGCCTCCTAGGGTTGAAAGAGTGACTTTGTGCCTAAAGTGGGACTTGAACCCACAATCTCATGGTTCTCGGCCTGATGCCTTAACCCCTGGACCAAATTGTTATCACTAGAGTTGTTTAATCATCCTTTAAAATAATCAAACTTGGCAGCTATCATTTCAACTTATAGCATAATTAATGTGTATGAAAACTTTCTCCTGTTTGTATTAGCGCTTCATTACATAACTTCTACTACAAAGAGGAAGAAATGACGTCTTCTTGTCCATTTATTCCACTTCATGCATCTTATATACCCCTACATGTAAGACACATCCATGTGTCCATCTCTTCCTAAGTTACAAAGCTCCATATATATACTGTATATATATACTGTAAATACAGTATATATACTCTGTGTGTGTGTGTGTGTGTGTGTGTGTGTACTGTGTGTACACACACACACACGTTGGTGTACAAAATTATGAAGACTTATAGATATGAAGTGGATAATATATCTTTGTGTACCATGACTGATAGTTGGTGTCATCCAGTTTGCAAACCAACCAACCCATTATTGGAAACAACTATTGGAATATCTAGAAACAATCAAAATACTGCACAAAGACAAAGACAAAGTTTGGGAATAGGCATTTAATGTCATATATGTTCAGTTGAACGAAGGGGGTACAAATGGATGATACCAAAAGACTCCCGGAAATAGCTTCAGCAAAGAGAAAGAAGATACAACAACCACAAGGAAAAGTCCTTGGGGAAAAAATAGAGAAAAATGGACGTTGCCATGGGAACTAGAAAGGATGTGTTCCAAGAGGGAAAAAACTGTAGGCAAATATGAAATGGTAGGCTCTAACAAGGAATGAGAAATGAAAAGTAGAGCGAAGTATGTAACAGCAGCTTTGACTAAATGGCATCAAGTATTGTTTGTTCTCTTCTGAACTTAAATTGTAGAAGGCACTGGCCCCATTTTCCTGCAGTGGCTTCATTTTCCTTTCATCTAGATATCCTAAAGGAGAATACATTCAGAAAGTATTTCTCCAATGCCCTGTGGAACCTATTGCTATTGCCTCCTTTGATTCCTACTGCCGTTTGATTGATATGAGCAAGAGGTTTTTGTCATTTCTCTTGACTCTGTAGGTCATGAGCTTCTCTAGTTCAAATGTGGTTCCAATTGCCTTAGCATAGTCATATAATCCTTTTATAAATATACTATCAATGCACATGACCTTAAGAGGACAGTAGAAGCAAAAGTCATATCCATGTCCTAGGGAAGATGTGTTCAAGATGTAGGAAGAGGAAAAATAGGATGGGAGAATCAGAAAAAAGGTGAAAGTCAACTGCAGTCATTCCAACTTGGTGCTTTCCAGTTGTAGCCATTATTTCCAGCCAGGAATTGTTAAATGAAATGGCCAGGAAAAAAGCAAGAAAAAACCTGAACTACAGAAAATTAAAAGGTGGGCAGAATCATGCCACATATGGGAAGCTAGAAGATTGTCCAAGGAAGGATCTTCTTAGCAGCATTGAAAAACCCTGCTTTCAAGATAGAATTCTTTATTGGCCAAGTGTGATTGGAGACACAAGGAATGTGTCTTGGTGCAAGTACTCTCTGTATACATAAAAGAAAAGATAATTAATGAAGGGTCAAGAATCATGAGGTACAACACTTAATAACAGTCATAGGGCACAATAAGCAATTAAATCATACTAGGAAACAGTCAATATAAATCGTAAGGCTACAAGCGACAAAGTTACAGTCATACAGTCACAAGTGGGAGGGGATGGGTGATAAGGAGTGATGAGAAGATTAACAGTAATAGTAGTGCAGACTTTGTAAATAGTTGAACAGTGTTGAGGAAATTATTTGTTTAGCAGATTGATGGCTTTCAGGAAAAACTGTTTTTGTGATCTAGTTGTTCTGGTATGCAGTGCTCTATAGCGTCATTTTGAGGGAAGGAGTTGAAACAGTTTATGTCCGGGATATGAGGGGTCTGTAAATATTTACACAGCCCTCTTTTTGACTCATGCAGTATACAGGTCCTCCATTGAAGGTAGGTTGGTAGTAATTGTTTTTTCTGCAGTCCTAATTTCTCTCTGAAGTCTGTGTCTGTCCTGTTGGGTTGCAGAACCAAACCAGACAGTTATAGAGGTGCAGATGATAAACTCAATAATTCCTCTGTAGATCTGTATCAGCAGCTCCTTGGGAAGTTTGAGCTTTCTGAGTTGAGGCAGAAAGAACATTCTTTGTTGTGCTTTGATAATGTTTTTTATGTTATGTGTCTATTTTAGGTCATGTGATATAGTAGAACCTAGAAATTTGAAGGTCTTTACTGTGTTGTTTAGTATTGTAAGAGGTGGTAGTATGGGAGGGTTTCTTCTAAAGTCTACACCATTTCTACAGTTTTGAGTGTGTTCAGTTCCAGATTGTTCCGGTTACATCGCAAGGCAAGTTGTACAACCTCCTGTCTGTATGCGGATTCATCGTCTGAAAGAGATGATGTGATAGAACATTTTATGAGACAGTCTGGTACAGATGGTATAATGCTCAAGGTATTAGGCCAGAAAGCGGGGGAGTGTGAGTTCTAGTCCTACTTTACCTATGAAAGTGAACTAAATGGCCTTGAGTCAATCACTCTCTTTCAGCCCGATCCACCTCACAGGATTGTTGGGAAAATTGGAGGAGGACGGTATGTTGGATGTTGTTCACTGCCCTGACTTATTTGTAAAATAAAGGCAGGATACATATAATGTGAAGCATTTATAAGACCTTGTAAGACACACTTGGACTACTGCATCCCGTTTTGGTCACCACAATATAAAAAAAGATGTTGAGACTCTTGAAAGAATACAGAGAAGAGCAACAAAGATGATTAGGGGACTAGAGGCTAAAATATATGAAGAATGGTTTCCGGCATTGGGTATATTTAGTCTAGTGAAAAGAAGGCTAAAGATGACATGATAACAGTGATTCAATATATCAGGGGCTGCCTCAAAGAAGGGGAAAGGGGTCAACCTATTTGCCAAAGCACCAGAAGGTAAGAAGCAATGGTTGGAAACTAACCAAGGACAGAAACAACCTAGAACTAAGGAGAAATTTCCTGACAGTGAGAACAATAAACCAGTGGAATGGCTTGCCTTCAGAAGTAGTAGGTGCTCCATCACTGGAGCTTTTAAAAAGAGACTGGACAACCATTTGTCTGAAATGGTATAGGGTCTTCTCCTTGAGTAAGGGGTTGGACTAGAAGACTTCCAATGTCTCTTCCAACTCTGTTATACTGTTATCCTGTATATTTGATTGAATGAGTAGTTCCTTTTATAAATAAAGACCATGCAGGCATCATACTTCTTTTGAAATTGTTGTGATGTGCTTTCTTCTGACTTTTTCTGACATTAGGAAATCTGATTCCCAGATTGTAATAACTTTTAAGTGACTCAAGTTAAGCTGAAGTGATAGGAAAGTAATTATAAGACATAGCTTATGTGCAACCCATCTCAAATAGCAGAATGAAAAAAAAATTAAAAATGCTTTTAAAAAAAGTGAAGCATTAATTAAAATTATTTTGCAATATAAAAAAGAGGGGAATTATTGACTTTAGAAGCAACCACTGCAAATGAAAGATCACATTACATATTATACAGAATTTAATAAATCAGGGACTATTAAGACAAAATTATTTCATATCCCATGATTGTGATATGCAGAACCCATATTACATGATATAATTCCATTCCACTCCACTCCAGTGCTGTTCTCTATTCTATTCTATTCCATTCCATTCTATAGAGCTTATATGATTCATACATTGTTATTGAAGATGCATGTACTATAAGATAAGTCAGAAAGAAGTTGCAACTGTTGATTGACTTCCGGTTGCCAGCTTCGGTGACAGCAGGGATTTGCATTTCTTAGTGATCCCTGCTGTGCTCGCCGTCTTGGTGCCTCCGATCCAGATGGATTTGGAGGATAAGGCTGCCCTGTAGAGGCAGCCGAAGATAGGGAGGATCTGGGAAGGGGTTTGGAGGTGTCGCAGACCCCCCCCCAGTTTAAACCTCCTTCTCTCAAGACGATGCAGCGACGGTCTTATGGCCGCCATGAAGAGGCTGGCATCCGGGAAAAGATTGTGCAGGAGGGGTGCTGAAGGAAGAGAAAACAGAGAAAGCTTTTGGCTGAACCGGGACAACAATTAACATCTGAATACCCTGGAACTTTGGCTTTTCAAGTGATATATTGTTTCCCAAAGGATCGTTAAGCTGCGGTGGAAGAGTAAAGGGAAAACTTTTTTTTTCTCCTCACTTTCCTTCCCACGGAGGCAGCAGATGGAAATCCGAAACACCCGTATTGGTAGCAGAAGGTATTAACTTTCAAAATTGAAGCCAAGGGGAAATTATATTCTCAAATACTGATACTTTAAAACTCAAATCTTTTTGCTTTAAGGGGGAAGGAAGAGAGGCAAATGATTTATACTAACGTTTGTTGAAGGAGACTGCTTGGAGTTTTATAAGATTAGAGATTAAATTGCAATAAAACTTCCAAAAAATGTCTTGGAATCATGTAATTGAATTCTCCCCCAGGAAGAGCAAGTAAGAAAGCGAAACAGAATGCACTCAATGTACTGATTTTGATTGCTTCATGACTTTGGGACTTTAACTATCTTTTGAAAGACTAAGAAAACATTTGGACTGCTTAAAAAAAAAATCCTTTCCTGTTTACAATGGTGTCTTTTGAAGAATTGAAAATGCAGTTCGAAAAATTAAAAAAAGAGGAAGGTGGCTCTTTTGGATCTATCTTTTGCTTTTTAGAAATGGCGATTTCTGCTTACCAGGAAATGCAACAAGAAAGAGGCTGGGACGATGAAGAAGAAGCCATCTTTAATGGACATATGATTTTAAAAAAGGGTAAAAAGGAGAAGAAAATCAAGAATTTAAGCTTTAAAAAAACAATTAAGAAAGGGAAAAGTAAGGTGAAAAATCGATACAATGATAGAAAGCAATGGAAAAGAGGAATACAACAGAGAGGGGAGATTAAAAAGTGGGAGATTGGGGGGGGTAAAAAGGCTAGATTTGACAAGGAAGGAAGGGACAAAGCGAAGGGAAGTTACAAAGACTTTAAACAAGATGTTGTTTGTTTTGTTTATAAACAACTTTTTTTTCGAGACAAAGGGTAAAATAAAATTTTAATAGAGATTCTGCAAAGGTACACAAGACTGCATTTTATATTTGTATTTGAAATATGTGTCAATAAAATATTGTAGGGACTGTCTAACTGATGTGTATTTAACTAATTTGTTAGGGAATACTATTTTTAATATCTATAAGAATATTATGTTTGTTTCTTTTTTATTCTAAAATGTCATCTAGAATGTACTAAGCAGAATCAGAATAGAAATAATGTTTAACTTTAAGCGTTGAATTTGGGGGGAAAATAGAAAGGTGTCATACTTCAACCAGTCATTACAGGAAAAAGTTTGTGTCTAAGAGTAAGATAAATGGATGATTGAAAAAGAACGGACAAAAAATACAAGTGAAATGATTTAAATTGAGGTTAAATAAACAAAGTAGAATCAAGAGAGTGAAAAGAAGGGAGAAGATATATGTAAAATGTAGAATTTTTAATAAGATATGAAATAGTATATAAGCTGAGCATGAATTTAATTTAAGTCTGTACCAAAAGTTATAACCCGGGGTTAAGCCACTTTCTAAAAAGAAGCTTTATATTTTTTATGTTATGTGTTTTGTTAGTTTATATTTGCTTATTGAGGAGTAATATTGGATAAGAACATATGAAATAGTAACAATATGAAATATAGTAAGATGAAATATATGAATGAATAAAATTGAATAGAAATAAAGGAAGAAATAGTAAGAAGGTGGAAAACAGTAATAAGACATGAAGTTGATTATATAAGATGCATATTAAGTTATGTGTGGAAATGTGATAATCTAGAATTATACTGTACTTAAATGAGATGTCTTATTTGTTTTGTTAAGTAGTTGTTGGAAAAGATGTTTTATGTTCTTATGTCTTATGTTTTGTTTGTGTACTTTTTTTTTTGAAAATTAATAAAATTTTACTTGAAAAAAAAAAAGAAAGAAGTTGCAACTGAATATTTATCATTCCAAAGAAGAATGCAAAAGGCATCTATCAGCATTGGACTTTCCTAGAAGAGGGAAAACAAAACCTCCACTGCCTGTAGTTTACTCAAGCAGGAGAAAACTAAAACCTCTGGCACTAGAATTATCTTCATCCCTGCCTACCACTAACTGAAATTAATCCACATGAAAAGAAAAGCAAGCTTAATTTTTCAGGCAGGCAAATGATTCTTGAAACCCAGTTGGAAAAATATTGGGGTCTTGCTTCGGTATGCAAGAGGAAGGGTCAACAACGGAGTTTTTCCCCTTGACCCCAGAAAATGGAATAGTGGCTCCATCTAATCATCAGCTGAGTGCAAAACTTTTGAAGTGTTCTTGATTAGTACTACTGTTTAGATACAAAGAGAGAAGACTAAAAAAAGTTTAATTTTTAATTAGATCCAAATTTGGCAGAAAATGGAATAATGGATCCATCTAATCATCAGCTGAATGCAAAACTTTGAAGTGTTCTTGATTGGTACTACTGTTTAGATACAAAGACAAATTTGACAATACAAGACAGGTGGATTAGAAAATATCTAATTATAAACCAGTGTGTTTAATTGTGTATTTGGAAAGCTTGCTTAATAAGTGGATGACAATATGAAAAATGTGATTTAAGTCTATTATTAAAGTAATTGTTTATATATACCAGTATTTGTACAGAAACATCTGCCACTATCTAGGATTGAATTTTCAACCTTCCTGGTGGGGAGGCTAGCATTTTCACCACTAGGCCACCATACTACCCTCTTCAAAAATATGTATTTTAGAGAATATTGTAGATAAATAAACTTAAGTCTTTAAATTGTTATGGGACCTAAGGGGCTATTATTCAAACATATAATCATACACACTAAATATAAGGGATTCCATCACATGTTAGACAGCCTGCCAACTATATAGGTACCAGATCTCTTCCTCATCCACTACAGCCGTTTCTCACACATAGATTTCTTTGGGGAAAGAAAAAAATATTTAAAGAAAACTGTACATTTCTATTATCTCGGCATCCCAGACGCTCCCTTTTTTGTTCCCTTTCTTGTTTACCAATAAATATAACCAACCCTCGTTTGAAAACATGGCCACAGTAGTTAAGTTAGTGTAATTTTTAGAAGCCCCCAAAGGCCGACAGCCTGCCATTTGCCTGGCACTGGTGTATGTGGAAGGGGGTGAAGAAAGCGGGCCGGGGGTGGGGGGAAATCGACGCTTTGAGGCAAAGAGAAAAGAATCACGCATCGCTCACAACATAATCCCCACTCGCTCCCCCTTCACTCCAGCCAGGGAGAGCCCGGCCTGCCACCACGTGAGCTTTTTTGCCTAGGCCGTCCTCTTCGTGAGCATACAGAGTAGCGGGGTGGAGTTTAGCCCGGTTTTTCTCCTCCCCGACGCCAGTAATGTCAGATCCGCTGCAGAAGCGTGGCATACTCTGCAAGGGAGGAGGAGGAGGAGGAGGACCCGTCGCGCGACTGACTCGGGTTCCCCCCACTTCTCTTGTCGAAGGGGTGAGCTAAAGGGCAGAACGCCAGGCTCGTTCAAGAGGGTCGCCCTCTTTTGCGCCAAGAAGAAGGCAGCTTTCCAACCTCGCTTTCTTTCTTCTTCTTCTTTTAAATCCGAGCGTAAGCGCCTTCAGTCCAAAACGGTCCCGGCTGCCGGCTTCCAAGCGGGAGAAGCCCGAAGCTGAACAAAGGAGAGGAAAACAAACCCCAGTGCCGCTTGCCACAAGCGCGGTTGAAGAAGCAGCGCCGCTTTGACAGCGAGGACATTTTCCAGCAGACCGACATTGTCGACCGGCGGAGCGGGGCGGAAGGGGAGGGGGGGAAACTGCCTTGGGATCCCTCCTCCTCTCCCCTCGCTGTGCTCTGCGCCGGTGGGTGGGTGGTTTTTCATTCGCGCAAAAAGAAAGGGGAGGGTGTGCGTGTGGATATGTGTGGATGATTCTTGGATAGGATCCCGTTTTTATTTTCGGTCAATAAGACCCGAAGGTTATTGTGAGAGCGAGGGGCCTCCTGCGGTACCAGCAGCGTGCCTGCGCGAGTGGGCGGAGGTAAAGGGGGCTGCTGGGGGGTGCTTTCCCCTCCTTTTCAACGGGGGAATTCAATGGCCACGGCCGCGGAGCGTTGGTGATTTCGGGAGAGGCGCTTCGACTGCTGCAATGCTGCCGGCGGCGCTGCTGAAAGGAGGGATCTGAGCGGCGAGGAAAGAGGCTGGAGGAGCAACCCGGCCAGAAGTACCATCCAGACCGCATCCCCCCACCCCCCTTCCTTTCTCCGTCCTTCCGACTTCCTCTGCTTGGATCGGCTTTGGGACTCCGGGGGATTCGGGGTCGCCGGTTTAATTAGCTCGGACAGGTGGCCGATCTGAGGTCCGTCTTCCCCCTGCTGTTTTGCCTAGCCCCGCTTCGCCCTGCCGCTTCGGCGACCCCTCCAAGGCCGTTGGAGAATGGCTACCCTCCTCCGGAAAATCGGGCTGATTCGCCTTCACAATAGGGACACGGAGGACCCCAAGCACCACCATCACCGGCGCGGCAGCTTCCAGCAGGGCTCCTCGTTGCGAGGCAAAAGCAACCATAAGAATAAGCAGCAGCTGCAAGCCACGCCGGCTAGCGGCTGCGGCAGCCCCAGCAGAGAGAGCTGCAGCAGCCCAGGCGGTAGCCCCGCTCGCAACAAGCCCAAGAAGGTCTTGGAGCTGGCGAAGCAGCAGCCGCCGTCCTACAACGCCGGGAAAGAAAAAGCGCAGCAACCCGGAGGCGGCAAGGAGGCGGGCTCCGGGAAGGAGCAACCTTCAGGAGGAGGCAGCGGCGTTAACCGCTCCGGCTCGGCCCTGGTTTCCACGGCTTTGGTGCCGGCTAGCCGGCAGGCGCACTGCACACAAGTGCGCACCCGACGGCTAATGAAGGAGCTGCAGGACATCGCCCGCCTGAGCGACCGCTTCATTTCGGTGGAGCTTGTGGACGAGAGCCTCTTCGACTGGAACGTGAAGCTGCACCAGGTGGACAAGGACTCGGTGCTGTGGCAGGACATGAAGGAGACCAACACTGAATACATCCTTCTCAACCTCACCTTCCCAGACAACTTCCCCTTCGCGCCGCCTTTCATGCGGGTGCTCAGCCCGCGCTTGGAGAACGGCTACGTCCTCGATGGCGGAGCCATCTGCATGGAGCTGCTCACTCCCCGAGGATGGTCAAGCGCCTACACCGTTGAGGCTGTCATGCGCCAGTTTGCCGCTAGCCTTGTGAAAGGCCAGGTATTTGTTTATTTATTTTTATTTGTCAATTGCTTACAAGATAATAGGTATAAGTAAAAACATAGTTTTGAATACATGGATACATATAAGAAAAAATATAAAAGAAGTTTCTCCTCGCAGCTGAGGAAGGACGCTAGGTAGGAGAGAGAGAGAGGCGGCTGTGATGGAATTGGAATCTGGTTGGGGGCCTTTTCTGATGGTCCCTAACAGTAACACAAACATATTCTGGCAACTTGATTCTGTCTGTGCACAGTAGTAAGGGAGATTTGCTCACAAATGACCTGGATTGGGAATGGCTTGATGATGAGTTTTAGCTAAGTGCTTGGGTTGGATTATCTAAGATGCTGGAGCTATCTCTTATACAGTATACCATTTCCAGATGTGGCTCAGCTTGCTTTACTACTGCAGCATTGTAGAGGATTCTGACCACTTCATTAGTAGATATATTGATATTGCTGGACTACAGATAAGCCTGCTGGTGACCTTATATAAGACATTGAATTAGGGGCTGACTTCATAGAGTGTGCTAAACCATCATGTTTGGCTTTGACTTTGGCTTAGTGTTTTGTGTAAGCTCAACCCTTCAATTTTTATACCAGAGTTTATGAAGTAGTAAATAGCATGTACCCAACAGGTGGAGTCCATAGTCCATAAACTATGCTTGCGGTTGGTCAGGTCAAAAATCAGGCACTATGAGGAGGACAAAAATGGTACTTCATTGTTATAGAATATGAGAACAGATTCTTGAAAGCCTAATAAAGTTTCCCTTCTGTCTCCTGTTATACCGAGCAGAATCCAGGCAGAGTTGTTCTAAGTTTCTTTCTCGTGTTGTCCACTTCCCCAAGACTAAATTGTCATTGAGCCTCTCTTAGTGGTTCCCCATCTTCATCAAGATTATTTTCATACACCTCTACATTCTGGCTTACTTCATGCTTGCTAGCCTTTGGAATTATGGAAGAGAGAAGAAATGTCTGTTGAGACCCACCACTTTTTGTGAAAGGGCAGGTGGATGACCTGTGTTATTTATTTTCTTTTATACAATGCTTCAAGGATTTTTCCTTTGGTTTAATAAAAGGTAATTTGTGGCATACAGAAAGAACAAAAATATTACAGATATAATTAATCTTACATGCGTGAATAAAAACTAGGTGTATACTTACCTCCTTTTACTTTCACTGTGTCTCAAAGCACAAGGATTTAGCAAATAAAGTCTTGATTGATGGACTATAGATGTAGAAAAATAATTTATACAAATTCTTTACCACAAGGTCACTACTACTGTGGTGGCTAAAAATGGGGGGGGGGGGGAGAACCACATTCATGTGTACAGTTGCGGACATAAGAACCAGAATCTTGAAATAAGGTAGACTAATAACTGAATATTTTCATGAAGTAAAGTAGGCATTTGGTTGGTTTCTTTTTGAAGGATAGAGCCACAACACCTTTGCTTTAAATTTGGAATCTGCAAATGTTTTCCCTAAAGAGCTAGATCTTCTCCCTCTTCCACTCTGTGGACATGGTTAGCTGGCCAAGGGACACAGAAGCCACTGAACAGTGCTAGCTCACCAGCAAGGAAGGCACGGATAGGCCTCTGCCTAGAATGCCCCAGCCTTCAACCTGGGGGCTTGGTTGAGGCTCAGATATGTAGAACTGCCTCTTTATCCATTGAAGTACTATATTAAAAAAAAACAGTGGGGTAGATTTGGCCTGTGGACTATAGTTTGCTGATTGCTAGCCTAAATAAGCCAAGTGATTCCATTTTAACAAAATTCTAACGAGGAGTTTTCCACATGGTAGTGCTAAAGTATGAAGAATTAGGTTGTTATGATGCCAGCTATTTATATAATCTGTAAGAGTTCAAAACCTTGCTGAGATAAATGAGTGGGAAGCCATAAGAAACTTTGACCAGATTACCTTTTCCCCATGTTTAAATTATCTTCCTGTTTCAAATTCAACCTGATACAAAATCCAAGTGCAAAGTCCATGCACTGCTTAACTGTAAAATCCTATCCAGAGATTTGCATCATGATCTTTAATAAAGTTTATGCTCATTTCTTTCTAGAAGTGTATTACACAGCAAAGCAAAATTTTAAATTCAGCTTGGCACATACCATTGCAGCCCCTATTTTCAAGTGGTTGCTTTAAACATTGATATACACACTTCGGCAACTTGAAGATTTTTCTTAATATTTCTCTGCTTTTCTATGGCAGTGTAAAGCAGCGGGCGATAATTAATATAACACAAATAAGTTTGTGAATATAGGGATTTTAATGTAATATATGTTCAGTTAAACCAAGGGAGTTCAATGGGCAATGAATGATATCAGAAGAATCCTAGTATAATGAATACTTCAGCTTTAATTCCATTGAAATGGAGAAAATGTTAATGTCTTGGTGCAGTCTTCTGAATTTTTTTCTGTTAGCTTGTGCCCTTTTTTTTTAGATATTGATTTATTAGATTTATATACCTCTTCAATTCAAGAGTTTACAGTATTTGAATACATAGGGCTTCTTCCTATTCTCTAGAACAATCACCCTGTAGGTTGGGCTGAGAGGGACTGACTCAGATTCCCCCAATGAATTTCTAAGGCTGAGAGTGGACCACAAATTCAATTTTCCCCTGTGCCAGTCCAATATCTCAATGCTAGACATTTAGCATAAGGCTTGGAAAGATTACTGCTTAGTTTTAACCTCTAAAAACTTTCATCAGCTTATAAAATGAATATAAAAGGTGACTAGTTTTAAATCATTTTTTAAAATTCTAATATGTTAAATTAGAGACTTGTATTTTATTACATCTACCGTGAACTGACCAGACCAGAGTCCGAGTGGATTGAGGCAATGTATAAATTTTATAAATTAAAATAAAATACAATTAATATTTAAATTTAAATGCACTAAAAATTAAACTGCATTAATGCCCATTAACCCTGTAAATCCCTTAAGACTAAATCAGTGATGACTCTTTATTAATCTATTAAATGAAAGGATGGAATCTTAAAATTGCATTGAAATGCAGCTCTGGCTGCTATGGATGCAGTCTTGTATTATACTCTATACCACCGTGCAAGGGAGGAGGTCATTCTTTTTGTCTTCACTACGGCAATGTATCCGAAAAGTCCACAAATTCTCTGAAACATCTTTGGAAGCTTTTGTGAGAAGGCTGATTTTTTTGGTCAGCAATGTCTGTTCTGATGGCAGACAGAGTCACACTACTAAAACTAGCGGCCCAATATATAATATGAAAACATATGTTTATCTCATTAACGTCTGCCCTCTGCCAAAGTTACCCTTTTTAATAGACTGGAGTTAAGGTTTTCATGTTAACTGGTAAGAACAGGATACCAAATACTTTTTCCCATTCAGTTATTACTTACAGATATTCATTAGCATCAATCAATTAAACAGTTCCCCCCCCCCCCACTATGACACCTAATACTTTTTCCACCTGCCCCTCGCGTCCCCACACAATAAAATAAAGCATGCTGTGATTTGCTGAAAGCATCTTAGGATAATGCTGATGCCTTGTTCATGGTCATTACTTATATTGGATGCGTTTGATCATATTTTATATTTATTGCAAATTGATGTTTTACACTGAGCTGGGTGTTTTACATAATAGTAAATAGTAATAGTCAATAGTAATAATAGTAAATATTTAGCTAAAAAATACCTGAAACTCTCTACAGTATATAAGTCCCAGAGTGTCAAGGAGTGTCAAGGCTGAGTCAAGGTTGACTCAGCCTTCCATCCTTCTGAGGTGGGTAAAATGAGGGCCCAAATTGTTGGGGGTAATATGCTGACTCTGTAAACCTCATAGAGGGCTGTAAAGCACTGTAAAAAGCACTGTAAAAAGCACTGTATAAGTCTAAGTGCTATTGCTATCTGTGATTTTTTTTCCTTTTTATCTACCTTGAATGACCTCTTTCATTTATGTTAATTTCCAAATGGAGAATTTAGATGGTTGTTAAACATCTACATAGTATTTAACAGTTCTGTATTCTTATGTCTCCAACCAACCAAATGGCCAAGAACTTGGCAATTAATATGTTGGGAGTTCTGAAGATAGTACCAAATAGTACTGTCATGGATTCCTATATGTAGCCAAAAATATTGCCAGATAATTAAATTTGTACAATAACTCTCAAATTCTTTGTAATATAATTGTTGTAATCCACATAAAGGAAAAACCCACTGTATCTTATTACAGGCAGTCCTTGGGTTATAATGGCAACTGAAACTGGTATTTCTATTGTTAATCAGTACAGTCATAAAGCATGATATCATGTGATTGTATTGCTCAGTAATAACATTTTCAGCAGTCCTGGTTGCCATTTTTAAGTGAGAGCCGCAAAGATCATTAAAGGTGGACCACATGTGATCACGACTTTCAATTTCCTGCCAACTTTCCACTGATTTTGCTTGTGAGAAGCTGGTAGGGAACATTGGAAATTGTGATCCTATGACTGCGAGAATACTGCAACAGATGGAACCCCAAGGACTGGTCATAAGTATCATTCATTTAAGACCATCATAACTTTGAACAGTTGTGAACGAATAGTTGTAACCTGAGGATTACCTGTGTATCAAAATATCTCCAAGTTGGACAGCATTACAAACCAATGTAAGCTCACTTATGCCAGTCCCTTTTATGGCACAGAGAAAGGCAGCAAATTTCCTGTGGTTGTTGAGAACTATAAAGATCAGGTCAGTCTTCCACTTGTAATAATGTTCTTCCATTGAGGGACAATGTCCAATGGTTATTGGTTGCCTTCAGCTCTTTAGTAGGAGAGTTATTTAGAATTAAATCCAACTAGAATTAGTCTGTTAAAAGTAAAATATTTTAGAAAATAACCTAAACATTGAAAGTAACTAAGCTACCAGGTGAACATACTGCATGATAAATTACTAAGTTAACACCCTCAATATGTTGTTACCGCACCAATAAACAAAATTAATTAAATAGTTGACTATGCACTATTTTCTAAAATGAGTAAAAG